TGGAATGTTGTTTTATGTGAAAAATTAGAGTCTCTACAGAGGTTTTTCTGCATTCTTACGCGATTTGTTTCAATGGTAAATGTATGTTGACTCTTTCAATTACGATAACGAAACCGAACTGAAGGCAAAAAATCAAAACTTCGCATAATTCAAACACTAATAAATAAGCCTTCTTATCATAGGTATCAATTTATTTTTTACACCGTTGAATGAATTAATGATCAGCTCTTAAATTAATAATTATTCGGAACTGGTCAAAATTTGGAACTGGCCAAACGACTGTATATCAAAATTTGGAAAAAATACAACAATGAATTATTATTATCTTGTGAAAACGACATAATATAATAAGTCGTTTTCACAACAGAATATCTCGTTTTCACAAGATATTATCTCGTTTTCATAAGATAATATCTCGTTTTCACAAGATATTATGTCGTTTTCACAAGCTATTATCTCGTTTTCACAAGGTAATATCTTGTTTTCACAAGATAATTATGTCGTTTTCACAAGATAATTTTTTTCTGGTATTTAAAAAAAATAATTGCGTGTCCTAAATATACCACCGTATAATACCGTATTTTATAAGTGGATAATTTAGCGAGACGCAAATTTAGCGATTTGTCCTTAAAATTGGTATTTTATTTTTAGCGAAATGTAATTTTAGCGATTTAAAGCTCTCAAAAGAAGCTATTTAAGGAATCACTGTCTAGATAGTATAGTATGCCAGGGCATCAACAATAGTGGGAAACATGGAATAATTTGCATAACGGTTTTTTTATGTTAAATTATCCCATGTTTCCCACTATTGTTGATGTCCATGGCATAGTCTCATAACTAGACAGTGATTTGTATATTTTCATTTTTACTTGAAATAACAATCTTTGAATAAATCAAAATACCGTCTAAATTACTAGATTTGAAATGCACGAGGCAGTCCATGTTATTTTCCATTGCCTCGTTCCATGACGTCAAATTTTACATTAAAAAATAATTCCATAAAAACAAGAAACAAATTTAATGACTGTTTATAGTTACTGTAGTCAAATTTCAACATTTATCAAATAAACAACAAATAAACAACAAAATAATGTTAAATTATGATCAAAGCAATCTTGTTAACGTTAATCATATATGTGACCTAGATTTAGGTTTTCGGAAGCACAAACAAGTGTATAGGCCCTAGCTAGGATACTTCTCCGCCGTCATATTAAATGCAGTGTTGCAGTTGATGAAACCAGAGTTGGTCAGGAAACCGATTTGTGTGGATGTTAAAATAGCAGATGAAGTTGAGTTGCTTACGAAGTCGGATGGTAATGACTGAGGGACGATGTCTGTATCAGATTATGGAGTGTGGCTGTGCCGTTTTCTCCTCGTGCTCAAGATAGGCTGTTTACGGAAGTGGAGTACTCGGCCTCGCTGATAGTGGACAACGTTGCGCTAGCGACTTGCTTTTGATCCGAAGATAATTCATTATTTATTTTGTTTGTAAAAAGACAAATCATATCTAATTACTTAGTAAACAGTTAAATTTATACGCCACTCATATATACACGCAAGTTAACATTTGACCTTTCAGTAGTGTTGCAATAGAGAAAAATACATACCAAGGTATTAAGAAGAAATTAACAAGATGGACTTTTGTAGTGTTCATCATAGAGAAAATAATTGGAAATGGAAATATTACAAACAAAGCGCAATTAAGTTTTGGCGATATTCAATTTTGGCGATCTTGGCATCCAAGCCAACAATGCCAAAATTCAATCTTCCTACAAATTCTGCATATACGGTAATAGAAATAAGTGATCGGGGTTCGGGTAATTTTTTACATGCATCGCGTCAATCCTTAGATATTTCTTCTTTAAAAGACAATAGAAGTGCAAGTAACAGGTCTCTTGCATATGACCTTAGAATCATACTTTGTCACGGTAGGCATTGGAATACTAAAAAACCTTCACCGCTCACTTATTGTAAGTGCTGATTATAGTTTATAAATGTGAAGCTCTTCACTGGTATTTTGTGAGGTACCTGCATATGAGTGAAAAACGCTTGCAAGAGAATTCTCTTAAAATAACAATTAATAAATTATTTTTTTATCTATCACTTTAATTGCCACAATCATAATTACGTGTACAAGTATGCATCTACAAAATTTTCCTTTGAAATTTTTATTATATAGTAGAGCTCACTTTGAAATGAATGTTAGATATGATTTTGATAAATTTAAAAAATTTCTATTTTCCTAACATTTTGAAAATCATTTCACCTGCAATATTTCTTTGAGTTTCGTTGCAGAAAACTATGTATGTTTATCATTTTACATCTACCCTAAATACTCAAACCATGATTATAACTCATATTTTTGTAAACAAAAATATTTTTATTTCTCTTGGATTACAAAAAGTCATCTAAAATCAAGATTATAATCAATCTTAATCCTAGCAGTGGTAACAGTTCTTTCATTTCTAACTTTATAGACCATAGCAATTTTATCTTAAAATTTAAGGAATGAAGCTTATTTCAATTTATATTATCCGATATACATGTAAAACTTGGGGTAGTTTACGCTTTATAAACTGCGAAGCGTAAACTTCCCAAGTTTTGTTATATCGTATAATATACAATTATGGACTGTTTAGAAGGGAAACATCACCAAGCGCCCTCGGGTGACAACCCTACTCAGACCTGATGATTGGTGATGTCTCCCGTCTAAACAGTCCATAATAGTTTTATTATCCTGAAGAATCTTCATTGTCATTTGAAGGGAGATAACAGTTGTCACCCTGCGCTTGAGGGAGACATCACGAGTTGTCTCCCTGCACGTGACCTGCTCTAAACCAATCAGATTGACTGTATAATTCTGAAGGATAATAATATAAGTTGAAATAAGCTTCATTCCTTATAATTTAATTTCAGTGTAGACAATGAGACAATTTTCCTCCAAATATTGAGCATAATTTTAAAGTAACGTCAAGCGGAGTAATACGATTTAGACGTTACTCATTGCCATTGTGACGTACGCAACTTATGTTATACGAAATAGATAAAACCTTTTAACCAATCAAATGAGGTGTTACAACTGATATTAAATTATTTTTAAAAAAAAGTAACTTACATGTTGCCCTTTCGGAGTTTCCTCCAGAATCTTTAAGTTTGCCGCATAAGCTTAGTGCGAATCTTCGTGAAACAGAGACAATTGCACGAACCTTTTAAAATAGGAGAGGGGTACCAATTTGTGGGAAGAAAAAGGGGAAAGAGAAAGAATTTTTCTCTTTATTTTGTTATTTGATACATGTAGCACCATCAGATGTAGAGTGTACGTGAATTTTTTCTCTACACTTTACACAAAAGTTGGTGTAGTCTGTACATGGAATTTTGCAATGACGTTGTTCACTTTTTAAATTTTCGTATTGGCCGATAGCGGTCGTCAATTTAAACTAATGTTATGTGTGTAAAATGTACAGCATTTTTTAACGAAACTCAATGACAAGTTACACTTGAAACAAAAGTGTACAAAGTGTACAGCGTCATTGCAAATTTCCATGTACACTCTACACCAACTTTTGGGTAAAGTGTCTCGAAAAGTTTCACATACACTCTACATCCAAATGTAGTATCTAGTAACAAAACAAGAAAACATTGATGTAACCATCAATTGTGGCCCGGGAAATAAATAAAGTAAACAATGGAAATGAGTCTTGATCATCAAACCGCTTCGATATGTCTCAGAAAGGCATGCGTCTAAATATGGAGACGATAATCGAGAATATTTTGAAAACTTCGTCGGATAAATTCGAACAAAAACGATACCCTTTTAAACTTGATCATTCCTCAAGTTAATTTTAGCTGTATAAAGTATAAACTGAAGCCAGACACATGCATCACCCATTTTCAATAATGTATTTCACTTTATGAATATAAAACCAGAACTGTGTACAGTACGTTTTTATTGCGATAAGTAAAATTCGATGTTCTAAAAAAGGAGACCTGTAGTTTTTTCGATTGTAAATGATAAGGAACTTTATTTATTAAATATAAAAAACACACATATTTTTACATATTCACTTAATGCTTATAGCTTGATCTGTTTAACCATATTTGTTTTAACAAATTAATTAACTTTTAATAAAAGAGTAATTTTGTACTGTACATGAATGCATTATATATATATATATATATATATATATATATATATATATATATATATATATATATATATATATATATATATATATATATATATATATATATATATATATATATGTGTGGATTTATGAACAATTGTGTGACATTGTGATACTTATTTTTACAGATATAAATTTATTTATACTTTAAAATCATCTTTTTAATATACCCCGTATTCTAGTATTTTATTCTATATGCTAAAAATTTTGATAACACAAGTACAATTTTTGCTCTTTTTTTTGTTTTTGGCGCAACTTTATTGCATGACGTTGCCTCTCAATTCTTATGTTTTTATGCATTTAAATAAACACGACTGATGAAGGCCGGTAACACGGTTGAAATATTTCGAAAAGTGTTTTAAAGTTTTTTATTATATATAGATATATATATATATATATATATATATATATATATATAGAGAGAGAGAGAGAGAGAGAGAGAGAGAGAGAGAGAGAGAGAGAGAGAGAGAGAGAGAGAGATCTATATGTAAAGTGTGATGTCTTAATATCAAAAATGCAGTTATAAATAATTCTTTCTGCTTATTCGATTCAACTTACCAAAAGAGCTTGGAAGCATTTTTTACGTTCAAGTCTCGTACTTTTCAAGAGGTACCAATGTGGGGGAAGACAAAAGGGGAAAGAGGAAGAATTTTTCTCTTTATTTTGTTACTTGATACTATCTTTAGATGTAGAGTGTACGTGAAACATTTCTAGACACTTTACACAAAAGTTGGTGTAGAGTGTACATGGAAATTTGCAATGACGCTGTACACTTTGTACACTTTTTCGTTTCAAGTGTAACTTGTCATTGAGTTTTGTTGAAAATGCTGTAAACTTTACACACTTAACATTAGTGTATATTGACGGCCGCTATCGGCCATCGTAAGATTCCGTGTCGCGGTCTGCAAAGGCACGATCAAGAACTCTCACTGTTTCATGGCCGTAAGTGCCAATAACAAGTCTTAATTTGGAGCTCTTCACTAACATTTTGTAAGGTCCTTGCATATGACTGAAAACTTTTAGAAAGACAATTTTCAAAAAGCAAATAATCAATCTTATTTTCTTTTGATCGGTTGAAGAGGCTAATCGTCAAAATAATAATTGTACTACATGTACTATACATCTGCGAAAGTCCCTCTGCTTCGAACCCTCCAAGTAAGAAACAGTTCCTTCTTCTGCGACTCAAGAGCAGAAATTCGAACCACCGCACCACGTGGGCAACTCTAACAGATATTTGTAAAACTAGTTCCCCTTAAATTTCCTCCAGAAAATGAAGCATCCTGATTACTGAGGATCATTGTGTATGTTTCTTTAATTAAATTTATTTTATGCTGAGTGTTGTTCATGGATTGATACTATATTGTTCCAGCTTCTGATCATGATTGTTCCTGGCACACAGTTTTGAAAGTATACAAATACCATCTTCTTGCTTTGGGTGGAGTGTTATCAACCCTCATGATTATCATCGACTTAACGTGCATCTATTGGTAATCAATTTCTGCTGCATAGACTTTCTCTGATATTTAATCAGTATAAAGGAAATTCATTTAAAAAATATTATTAAGTTCATCTATTGTAGGTGTGTGAAATACAAGGTTAAGAACAAACTTCAATCAACGAGAAAGGGGGAAATTCAAGAGATCTCTTGCAGACCGATCACAGAGGCAATGGCACGAATCTATAGAAATATGAACTTCGATGGAAATTCAAATTATGATCTGGTATCAAATAGGAAAAATGCAACAAAAACTTATATATTTTACAAAGAAATTGACTCTGCACACTACGATAAAGGATTCTTTAGACTAATTACTGAAAGTGGTAATTATGATTCTGCTTGGTCCAATATCTGTTCCACTCAAGTAACCCATGATGTAGAGTATGATCTAGTACGCAACGTTGGCAATCTGAAAGTCCCAGAAGAAGAGATTTACAGCAAACAGATACTTGACCCCGAAGACTTCAATACGCAACCAGAAACAAGTGCAAAAGAAAAATAATCTGATTATCCAAACGTTCCTCCATACATCACACTTGTTCAATTCAAAAATAATCTGAAAGAACAATAGCTAATGTATCCCTTTGTGAAGTGTCTAATCAAGATCAACTCCAAGACAGAGAATCAAACATGAACAAAAATTGTAAAGCAGAAATAAACACAAAGTAACACAGCCAGGATGGGAAAAATGATAACTGCAAATCAGAAATTGTTGAATAACAGAAGGGTAAAAAGGACGAAATCATGACGTCTTTATAAGATAGGAAAAGAACCGTTGTTTTTCGGTGGAAAACAAAACTGAAAAGAACTGTATAAACTTCTTTCTGCTTTTTTCATCTAAAAATACAATGAATACGTTAACGCATTGTGAAACAATGAGATATATATATATTAGTTTGATTTTGTATGAATTCGAATTTTGCTCTCAATGAATTTGTTAGCATTTGTTTATGTTAACAGTTTTGTGTTTTTTAGAAGATCTTACCAAATAGCATCTCACATCTGACGTTTAGAGGTTTGTGATTGCTCTGTCTAAAAAATTGTATTGTTTAATGGAATTTTGAGCTTGAGTACTGTTCGTTATCTTCATTTATTACACCTCTATTAATGTTTCCCTAAATAACATTATATCGATAGATATGACATTCCCTAGAAATCGTTATGAATGGACAAATTCCGGTGCGTTAGTCAATTGAGCTAATACCTGCTTCGAAATCTAATTCCCCGTTATTCGTAATACTTTTACTTTTACATTGATGTGATATGTGAATGGACTAATCCCCGTGTGTTAGTTAAGGGAGCTAATTCCTGCTTTGAAATCAAGCTATCTGAATCCTCTAAATTTTACGTTTGTATCGTTATACTTAACAGTTTAAAAGTATTATCATTGCGGGAGTTAGCAAGATTCAATTTTCCAAAGGCAAGGACTATGTAGCCTCGGGAAATAGTTTTGGCCTTGCGAAACTGGAATATTGCTAACTCCCTCAATGATATACTTTAAATGCATATTAATATTTCACAATAAAAATCATTGCTATTAAGACCATTTCACTGGTAAGATTTCATTCCATAATGTGTTTTCTTGAAAACAAAAAAGTTTCCAAGGAATGTTTATGATACTCCCCTGCTGGAAAAGAGGGAGGGTATATAGCGATCGGGATGTCTGTCCGTCCCTCTGTTATGCTTTGGGGATCCATCTCTTATCCAAAACTCCTTTTATACCACTGATAGAAATTTAATGAAACTTTCACTGAATCTTTATTATATAGTGCCATTGTTCAACTCTTTTTTTTTACTTTTTGATCCATATCTTCATAATAATCCTTACAAACAGAGATGCATTGCTGATTTCATCAAATGTTCTACCAAATTCTTAACTTTACTCCTTGAAAAATATTCACTGCTGTAGTAGAGAAACTTTAGACGTAATGTGCTACAATGTATACTAGAATTGGTTAAAATCAGATGTGGATCCTCAAAAACTCTTAAGAACTTTCACATCATCAAATATTTCAAAACTCTTAGACATTAAAACGTACAACGTTTCTACACTTTGTACTTGTACAACCATATACTTTAATTAAATAAATAAAAAGTTATACTTTATAATATCATTGACAACTGCTTTTCAATAAAAAAGGAACTCGGAAATTCTCACATCTTGTGTTTGGTCATCATCAAATTTACCTTTATGTTGTCAAAAAAAAAAACACTGATTGTACACACAAGTGCTTTACGGTTGGTATAAAACGGATGTTGGAGATTCTCAATGATAACAACTATGTAGTCTTCAAAGACAAAATTTTCCAACAAACTGTTGGAATAACAATGGGTACTCATTGTGATCCGTTATAAGCTGACTTGTTTTACTTTCAGACGAAACAGAATTTGTTTTAAAAAATACTTCAATTTGACATTTAGATATATTGTAGCATGAAACCTAATAATATATATTTACAAATAGCAAAGGCGACTGAATCCCCTCAGTTAACTTTTTGAGGACCTGGCAGGTTCAATATATCAAATATGTGATTAAGCAATATATACAGATAAATGTTAGACTACTTGTCTTTAATCAATTATGTACAAAAAAATCAAAGTGATGCTGGCTCAATAGCGATCGGCTATTGCAGCTCGGCTCTTGCAGTTCCTACAGCTCTTTTTTTAATACTGGCTCTTACAGCGCAGTTCATACAGTTCGGATCTTGCTGGCTTCCGTGTACAGCTCTTGCTGGCTCCCACTGTCACTTTTTTTTATAACAAACAATATCTAAAGCCAGGGAAGACTTGTTCAGTCACGTCTGAAAACTTTAAATATTTATTTATTATCATAAACTAAAAATTACCTCTCGTAACAAATGGTCCGCCTGTCTTACGGCTTCAGCATCAACTTCGTAATTAAATGAATTTGCCGCTTCGCCTGTATTTATAATCTCCGTGCCAAAATAACGCCATCTAGCGGAACATGACTATAAATCAGGACTCTCACCGGAATATCTTTTCCCGGATTGTCTCAATATCGACCATAATCTAACAATTAACAATGTGTATTTTTATTGTAGAGCCATAAGAAATAACAGATATATCATCTGCAAGTTGGGACAACTTGTATTTTCACTATCGATGTTTATGCCTTTTATATTTTTATTTTTCTAAAAAAAACGTCTAGAATCTTTGCACAGTCAACAAAATAATATGGTGAAATAGGATCACCTCGTCTACACCCCCTTTCAGGGCAGAAAAACATAGAAATAATCCAATTTTAAATAACACAGGATTTTATATAGTTATAGAAACATATTATCCAGAATCTAATTGACAGATCAAAAATAAATAAGCAAAGTGTTTACTGTACGGAGTTCAATGAAATTGTATCAAATGCATTTTCGAAGTCAATAAACATTAAGAGACCAGGTACATGAATTTATTACATTTTCAAAAGTGAAATACTGTAATTTATCCATTAAATAAAGGTGATAACCTGTCACAGTGTGAAAGGATATCAAAATTATATCCTGTCACAGTGTGACAAATATCAGAAGTACAGTAACACTCTCGATTAACCTTCCCATAACGAAGAGTGTTGTAAAAATGTTCCTTGGACTGTTATAATATATAGAGTAAATAAACCATTCTGACAGTGTATAAGACTACCAAAGTTCCCCAAAATATGTTGCTAAAATCCATGTTTACAATGTTTTCAATCTCGTATCACTTAGCTATGACGTCTCAACCTTTAAACTATGACGTTATGTAGCCTATGACTGGTATATTTAAGAAATGAATTTAATTTTTGAAGATTCATGAGGTTATTAACTACGACGCTTCACGCCGGCAAATTTCATGAAGCGCGTTAGCGCTTCATGTTAAATATGCCGGCGTGAAGAGTTGTAGTTGATATACCTCATAAATCTTCAAAAATTAAATTCATTTCTTATATTTACATTATTTTTTATGATGACTTGCCATAAATTTACGCCTTTCAACTGTCATTTTTAAAGCAATACATTGTGCACTATATTTTTTGACGTCGTGTGGTATTATCACTATTATAACGTATCAAATATGGTGATATTCATGCTCATTCGTGATACATATGTAATGTAGTTCATGAGAAAATAAACTGCATTTTATTTTGTAAAGAATCATAGGGGAAATTTTAATTTAATGGAAATTTGAATATATACAAAAAGACAAATAGGTAAAGGGAAAATCAAAGAAAATATAATAAACAGAAAATTCAATGTTTTGTAGTTGAATATGGAATTTATTTCACTCGTGAGACAGGATTTTTTTATATTTTCACTCGTGTTTCGCACTCGTGAAAATATCAAAAATCCTGTCCCACTCGTGAAATAAATTGCATATTCAACTACAAAACATTGAATATTATCTATTTCTCTTGATTCTGCTTGGTGAATAATACCACACATTAATCTAATATTTTCACCAATAAATCAACCTTTTACAAATCATGTTTTGTCTCCATGTATGAATTTACCAAAAACTTCTTTCAAAAATCTTTCAGCAATACATCCAGAAGCTAATTTATACACAAAATTTAAGAGGCTACTAGGCCGTCATTTTTTTTAAAAATTGTATTAGCTACAGTTTTAGTTGGCCACAGTTTTAGGTTATAACGCCTGTTTTGGTTCAGAACATGTTTTTTTTAAAGTATAAATCAATGATTGTTCGTGTGATAAATGTTCCAAAACCCATCTTTTTGCAAGCGAAACCATCTGTAGCTGGTCTTTTATCAGTTTTTATTTTTAAAGATTTTTTGAGCTTTTTGTTACAGGTTCTTTCTATACTTAGAGACTTTTAAAAAAACTTCAAGCTTTGATTCAAATTTTTTTCCTCAAATACTAATTTTCCCTGTAATGTCTCATTATTCTTTATCAATGATCCTTCAATTCAGCGATGATAAATACACTAAAAATGCATTTTAAACTCATCTTTAGAAAACACAGAAAGAGCAGATTCATTGTAGAAAGCCTCATTTTCAAAGCATATAAAAGAGTCCATTTTGCAACTATCGATTCATTTACCTAAATCAAACGTTTAAGAAGAATATTAACCTTTTTCCTCATAATCATGCTCGTATCTTACAAATAATATTTCATAAAGAGTCAAGAAATCATATTCTGTATTATTTTTAATATATGTCGAAAAAAACTTTCATTAAAAATCCGTATAAAAAATAAAAGAAATATTAAATAATCATAATTTTGAAAGAAATAGAATTGGCAAAACTTAGGAAATAACCATCTTCTTTTCTTGTATTTGCAACCGGTAATCAGCATTAAGGGTCGCAAATACCAAACTAGAAGATAGTTATTCCCATTAAATTGTTTGTTGTTTACGTCTTATAATGGGGAGATTGAAATAAAAGATACCAGTCTGACACATCTGATTCATACTTGGATATTTTACTTGAAAAAGACATTAATGGTAATCTAACAACCAAGCTCTGTAAAACGCCGATGACTAACTTTTCTATCGTCAACTTCCATTACTTATGCAGCAATATACCTTCATCACCTG